AAAGAGAATTTTAGACCAATATCCCTGATTAACATCGATGCAGAAATCCTCAATAAAATACTGGCAAACTGAATCCAGCAGCACATCAAAAAGCTTATCCACCATGATCAAGTGGGCTTCATCCTTGGGATGCAAGGCTGGTTCAACATACGCAAATCAATAAATGTAATCCAGCATATAAATAGAACCAAAGACAAAAACCACATGATTATCTCAATAGATGCAGAAAAGGCCTTTGACAAAATTCAACAGCCCTTCATGCTAAAACCACTCAATAAATTCGGTATTGATGGAACGTATCTCAAAATAATAAGAGCTATTTATGACAAACCCACAACCAATATCATACTGAATGGGCAAAAACTGGAAGAATTCCCTTTGAAAACTGGCACAAGACAGGGATGCCCTCTCTCACCACTCCTATTCAACCTAGTGTTGGAAGTTCTGGCTAGGGCAATCAGGCAAGAGAAAGAAATCAAGGGTATTCAGTTAGGAAAAGAAGAAGTCAAATTGTCCCTGTTTGCAGATGACATGATTGTATATTTAGAAAACCCCACTGTCTCAGCCCAAAATCTCCTTAAGCTGATAAGCAACTTCAGCAAAGTCTCAGGATACAAAATCAATGTGCAAAAATCACAAGCATTCTTATACACCAGTAACAGACAAACAGAGAGCCAAATCAGGAATGAACTCCCATTCACAAATGCTTCAAAGAGAATAAAATACCTAGGAATTCAACTTACTAGGGATGTGAAGGACCTCTTCAAGGAGAACTACAAACCACTGCTCAGTGAAATAAAAGAGGACACAAACAAATGGAAGAACATACCATGCTCATGGATAGGAAGAATCAATATTGTGAAAATGGCCATACTGCCCAAGGTAATTTATAGATTCAGTGCCATCCCCCATCAAGCTACCAATGACTTTCTTCACAGAATTGGAAAAAACTGCTTTAAAGTTCATATGGAACCAAAAAAGAGCCCGCATTGCCAAGACAATCCTAAGTCAAAAGAACAAAGCTGGAGGCATCATGCTACCTGACTTTAAACTATACTACAAGGCTACAGTAACCAAAACAGAATGGTACTGGTAACAAAACAGAGATATAGACTAATGGAACAGAACACAGGCCTCATAAATAACACCATACATCTACAACCATCTGATCTTTGACAAACCTGAGAGAAACAAGAAATGGGGAAAGGATTCCCTATTTAATAAATGGTGCTGGGAAAATTGGCTAGCCATAAGTAGAAAGCTGAAACTGGATCCTTTCCTTACTCCTTATGCAAAAATTAATTCAAGATGGATTAGAGACTTAAATGTTAGACCTAATACCATAAAAACCCTAGAAGAAAACCTAGGGAATACTATTCAGGACATAGGCATGGGCAAGGACTTCATGTCTAAAACACCAAAATCAATGGCAGCAAAAGCCAAAATTGACAAATGGGATCTAATTAAACTAAAGAACTTCTGCACAGCAAAAGAAACTACCATCAGAGTGAACAGGCAACCTACAGAATGGGAGAAAAGTTTTGCAATCTACTCACCTGACAAAGGGCTAATATCCAGAACCTACAAAGAACTCAAACAAATTTACAAGAAAAAAACAACCCCATCAAAAAGTGGGCAAAGGATATGAACAGACATCTCTCAAAAGAAGACATTCATACAGCCAACAGACACATGAAAAAATGCTCATCATCACTGGCCATCAGAGAAATGCAAATCAAAACCACAATGAGATACCATCTCACACCAGTTAGAATGGCAATCATTAAAAAGTCAGGAAACAACAGGTGCTGGGAGGATGTGGAGAAATAGGAACACTTTTACACTGTTGGTGGGACTGTCAACTAGTTCAACCATTATGGAAAACAGTATGGCGATTCCTCAAGGATCTCGAACTAGAAATACCATATGACCCAGCCATCCCATTACTGGGTATATACCCAAAGGATTATAAGTCATGCTGCTATAAAGACACATGCACACATATTTTTATTGCGGCACTATTCACAATAGCAAAGACTTGGAATCCACCCAAATGTCCATCAGTGACAGACTGGATTAAGAAAATGTGGCACATATACACCATGGAATACTATGCAGCCATAAAAAAGGATGAGTTTGTGTCCTTTGTGGGGACATGGATGCAGCTGGAAACCATCATTCTTAGCAAACTATCACAAGAACAGAAAACCAAACACCGCATATTCTCACTCACAGGTGGGAATTGAACAATGAGATCACTTTGACTGCGGAAGGGGAACATCACACACCGGGGCCTATCATGGGGAGGGGGAGGGGGGAGGAACGGCATTGGGTTTTATACCTGATGTAAATGACAAGTTGATGGGTGCTGATGAGTTGATGGATGCAGCACACCAACATGGCACAAGTATACATATGTAACAAACCTGCACGTTGTGCACATGTACCCTACAACTTAAAGAATAATAATAATAACAATAAAAGAAAATATACTTGTTTTCTAGACTATAATAACAAAATACCACAGACTGGATGGTTTCAATACAGAAACCTACTTTCTGGATTCTGGAAGCTAGATGTTCAAGTTAAGGTGTGACATGGTTGATTCCTTTTGAGGCCTCTCTCCTTGGCTTGGACATTATCATCCTCTCCTTGTGACTTTTCTTATATGGATACCTGTTGTATTAGATTGAGTCCCATCCTAATAACTTCATTTTAACTTAATTAACCTCTTTGAAGACCTTATCTCCAAACACAGTCATATTACTCTGAGATATTAGGGTTTAGGGTTTCAACATATGAGTTTACAAAAGGGGGACACAATTCAGCTCATAACATCCTACCTTCTGGCTCTCTAAAGTCTAGTCCTTCCCACAGGCAAAATACAAGCATCCCCAAAGTGTTAACCCCATTCCAGGGGTGAACTGTAAATCCAAAATCTCATCTAAATGTAATATCTAAATCACTTATATGTGACATTCAGGTATGAATCCATCCTGAGGCAAAATTTCCCTCCAGCTATAAACCTGTGAAACAAGACAAGCTACCCGTGACCAGAATATAATGGTAGAACAGGCTAAGGGTAGGCATTTCCATTCCAAAAGGGAGAAATCCGAATAAAAGTGTCATGAGCCACAAATAAGTCTAAAACCTAGCAGGGCAAATTACACTTGATTTAAGGCTCAGAATAATCCTTTTTGACTCAATGGACAGCAGCCCCAACCCCTCAGTCCTGGGTTAGAGGTACCCTGGCCTTCTGAAACCAATGGGCTGGGTCTGCCCTCTGGGACCAAGGAAGAGGCAGCCTAACCTCCTGGGTCTGTGTCTTTTGTGCTTGTGGTGGCAGTGGTAGTCCTGCCAACCTCTGAACCACCTCAGGGTATGTTTTCCCTTTTCTTGAAGGATAATGCATGTTTGCAGCTAAATAGCTCTATTGACCCATCCTCTAGAATCCCAGAAGTCCAGCTACCTTCTTTCATGTCATCCTAACTCTGTTCATTTCTGCTGCTAATAAAATTCTCAAAAAACATGTTGGTCTCTGATGCAATTCATGGTGTCCAAATTATCAGATAAAAGGGATTCCCATGAGTCTTTCCTGCATAGCCCCATCTCTATTCCTGGCTTCTGCTGAGATGGCTGACTGTATCCATAAACACATGCCTAATCAGTTTTTTAAAAATTGGCACATATTAATTGTACATATTTAGAGGGTACACGCAATATTTCCATACATGTATACAACTGGTAATGATCAAATCAGGGTAATCAATTGGATATCATCTATCACCTCAAATATTTATCATTTCATTGTGTTGAACATTCAAAATCCACTCCTCTGGCTGTTTTGAAATCTATACTAAATTATTAACTATAGCCATTCCAGTGTGCTATAGAATACTAGAACTTATTCCTTCTACCTAAGTGCAATTTTCTACCCATTAACCAACTCCTCCCTATACCCTCTTCCCTCCTACTCTTCCCAGCCTCTGGTAACCACTCTTCTAGTCTCTACTTCTGTAACATCAACTTCTTTACCTCCCTAATATGAGTGGGACCATCCAGTATTTGTCATTCTGTGCTGGTTTATTTCATTTAATGTACCTAATCTTTTTAGAAAATGGTTGTCCAGCCACACCCTTGATATTCTTTCCAAATTACACTTACTTATTGTAATATGGATATGCTGAGAATTTTTCAAATCTTTAATTCCCAATTCCTTTTTGCTTAAATTCTTCTCCAACTTATCTCTCTCCTCTCTCATCTTATAAGCAACAAGAACAAACTGGGTCACAATTTCAGCACTTTGCTTAGAAATCTGCTCAGCTAAATATCCAAGTTCATTACTTACAAGTTCTACTTTCCACAAAGCACTAGAACACAATGTGTCCAAGTTCTTTTTCATTTGATAACACAGATCATCTTTCTTCCAGTTCCTCCTTCCTAAGACCTCAGTAAAAGCATATTTAATATTCATATTTCTACCTACAATCTCTTCAAAGAAATCTTAGCCTTTTTTAACATGCACCTCAAAACTTTTTCAGCTTCAACAGTCACATTCTGAAGTGCTGGGTGTTACGATTTTAACATATAAATTGGAAAGGGGAACAAAATTCAACTCGTAAGATAGGGTGTGAGAGAGCATCAGAGGTGCAGTTCTCAGGATTAATATTAAGGGAATTCTTGAGTACCTAAGTTTGCATGAAATAGAACAAAACCTAAGTCAATATGCCCACATCTATCTTCTTTGACTTCTCATATTTCTTCTATGCTGGGCCTTGGCATGGTGAGTTTGGAGAGCACAAACCATTGGAATTATTCCATCCTCTGTCTGAAGACATAAACATAAGTCCAGCATCCCTTTAACAGTCTTTGTCCCTAGCCGATACCATAGACTTGGCTAGATTATTACATAAGTAAACAATTCATTCTTGTTGAAAACATAAGATACATCTATGCACAAAGAAAGACTTGTGTGATAGACAAAATGTCAGAGGATATGGTTTTTCTTCAAAGTATTTAATGAGATGGATTGGCCATGAGGATAAGGAGGTAAAGAGAAGTCAAAGAATACAGACTGGTTTAGTTGAAGAAATAACCTTCTAACAAGCAGAGCTGTCTAACTTGGAATAAATAGGCCTAAAGGATGCACGTGTACCAGGACTGACAGTGTTTAGGTAGAGTCTAGGGATCAACTGTTAAAGCAGAATTCCTGCACTGGATGGAGTAAGGGTCCTAACTCAGGAATCTGAGTGGATAATTCACCAAATTTCCAATGAGTCAGAGATAGAAATTCAGATTTTTCACAGCCTTCTCTTAAGCAAATGAACTTGGAAGCATCTTTGTGTCCTTCAGCAAAGTCACCATGAGGCCAGAGGGTCAAGACTGTCAAGTTTACTGACAGGAGTCAGGGTTCTGTGAAGAGACAGCACAGTCACCAGGTTCAATCCAGAGGCTACCAGAGGGCAAAGATCCACAAATTCTAAACAGACTGTTGGCACTGAGCTTCAGGACATCATTTATTCTTTTCATAATACAAGAAAAGAACTAAACATGGAGTCTAGCAGCCTTCTACTCTCATCACAGCCCTGGCCCACTACAGCATTCACTGTGCCCCATTCTTTTTCCACTTATCCCTCACTCTCTATTCACACATCCTTTCTCAGGAATACTCCCAAGACTGTCACAGATCTGCTTGGTCTTAACACTATAGATGATGGGATTGACCACGGGTGGGAAGAGCAGATAGAAATTGGCGAGGAGAATGTGGACGTGTGAGGCAGCACGGCAGGCCACACAGTGCATGACTGAAGTGATGACCACAGGTGTGTAGAAGGCTAGGATGGCACCTATGTGAGAGACACATGTCCCAAATGCTTTATAGCAGACCTCCTGAGAGGAGAGTTGTAGAACTGCCTGAAGGATAAATATATAAGATAGGATGATAAAGAATAGCTCTAACACTCCAATAAACATGGCCACAGCAATGCCATAGATATTGTTGAAGCTGGTGTCCCCACATGCCAGCCTCACCACAGCCATGTGTTCACAGTAACAGTGGGCAATCACTGGGCCTTGGAAGTAGTAGAAGTGTCTCAGCAGGAAGGGGAGTGGAGTCATTAGTGTCACAGCCCAGGCCACAGCAGCCATGCCAATCTTGGTGATGAGGGACCCAGTCAGGACGGTGGTATAGTGCAGTGGCTTGCAGATAGCCACATAGTAGTCAAAGGCCATGGCCAGCAGCACTGCTGACTCCATGATGGAGAAGGAGTGTAGAAAGAACATCTGGGCCAGACAGGCAAATAAGTTGATCTCCCAATCCCTGAACCAGAATATGGCAAGCATTTTGGGGAGTGTTGAGGAGGAAAGGACCAGGTCGATGGCTGCCAACATGGCCAGAAAGAGGTACATGGGCTCATGGAGGGCTGCATCAGCCTGAATGATGAGAAGAAGGGTGCAGTTTCCAAGCAGGGCCAGTGTATATGCTGAGCAGAAGGGGATGGAGATCCAGATGTGCAGGTGCTCCAGGCCTGGAATCTCCATCAACAAGAAGGCAGCTGGATGTGTTGAGGTGATATTGGAGGCTGACATGGCTCCCGGGAATTCTCTTCCTCCTTATCTGCTTCCACAGGGCCCTTCCAGAGAATATTCAGTATCAGCAGAATTACAATGCTCACATTCAAGCTCTGATCATTCCTGTGAGAAGATTAGCTCTTATCCCCGTTTTTAGACATTAAAAGAAATTAGAAAATAATCCTATGTATCATGAAATATTATGCATGATCCTTGCCCTTAAGGTGCTTATAAAATCACTGGGTGCTCAGGACATTTAATTCCAATAAAGCTAGTATTACAAAGCAGGCTTATTGAGAAATCAAGTGGAGGAAGAGCCTTTTGTGGTCTGCATGTGGCCAAAAGCAACTTTGTAAAGAATATAGATTGCTGCTTAATTCAAATCATACCCATAAACATTTACCATCACTGTCTTCCTATTGCCTTCCAACTCAAACTACACTCCCAATTATGAAATGTCAATCTTGGTCATATGAAAAATAAATGTAGTTAGCACTTTCTAATAATTTACTTCCCTACAAGTTCTTTAGATTTTTTTTCTGGGGGGGATTTCATAGGTCCTTATTTGATACTCAGAAATCCCTCCAACTAAAGCCCTACCTCCAGGTAACTTGAGAACACGAGAAGCCCTTTTGTTGTTCTCTTTCGCCTGACTGCAGTTTAACCTTCATCTCTACATGCTTCTTCCTTCCTGGCCTTCACGACATTCAGAAGAAGAGATGCCCCACACTCACCTTTTTGCAAGACTGACCTATTCCCCTCACACTATTTTTCCATCTGGGGTCCTTATATTCTTTTTCCACCTTTTGTTGTCATTTCCCTTGAAAATGTTTAAACATTTCCTTCCAATATTTTTTATCTGTGCCACATTTTTTTTCAGTTCCTGCCTAAAAACTTTCCTTTGAGGATTTTGAGATCTTTTAAAACACTTAGCACAAATCTGAAACAGAGTGCTCAGTAAATGTGGACACTTATGAATTGAGAAAACAAAAGATTAAGTCACTAACAATCAGAACAGTTGGAAAATGTCAAAGATGAAACTTGAGCTTTGAGAACTCTGGTTTGCTGCCTCCCAATCCAATGTCTTAAATCACTACACTCTTCTGCTTCTACCTCATTGCTTCCTAAGAAGTGTAAATCCAGTATATTCAACTTAACAGAAATATAACTCAAACTCATTACCATGATATAGGAAAAAATTAGAATCTAAAGACTTGGGTTTAAGTAATGATTGAGCTATCAGCCTACCAATAGAAACTAGTATTAATCACTGAAATTTTTTAAGATTTAGGTTCCTCACCTATAGATGAAGGCATAACCATATCTTCCATGACAACTTTACTGCTTCATTGTGAGGAAACATAAAATCATGAGAAGAGTCCCTGTAAACTGTAAAGCATTGTAAAACTGTTATTTGTCATTACAATATTCCCCCTCCCACTCAGATCTGCCCCTTTTAAAAAAATGTTTTTCTTGACATCAGCACAATCCTGCATTCCTTGGCCTTATATCTCCCTTCATCTAACACCCCTCAACTGTTTTCCCTCACGGCAACATTTGTTGAAAAAGTTGAGTAATTCATTCTCTACTTCCTCATCTCTTAATTTTAAATCCCTTCCAATCTAGCTCCCATCTCCTCTACTCCCCTTATATGATCTTATCATTGCTTATTTATTCCCCCTCCCTTCTTTTTTCTTCTCTTTTTGTTCCCCTTTTATTCTCATACTTCTCTAGGTGCTCTCTTAGGTGGTAAAAATGCCAAGAGAAACCAATATTCAGGAAATGCTCAAATGTATAACTTCTACTCTGAGTTACCAACTAGCATATCCTACTTCCCACTGGATAGCTCCACTTCGAGGTCTCACAGGCATCTCAAATGAAATAGGGCCAAAACAGAAATCTCTCTCCACAAACTCTTTCCTCTCCATGACTTGCCCATCTCAGTATGTATTATTACCATCCATCCCATAGCTAGGTCAGAAACCCAGGGGGTAATCCTTGATTCAGTCCCCTTCCTCATCCTTTATATCCAATTTCAAAAGGCAAGTGTGATCAACCTATAATATATTCCAGTCCCTACTCTTTTTTGTGTGCCTTGCCAAGCACTGTTATTTAAGTCACCATCATCTTTCATCTGGACTACAAAAGTCTCCTAACTCTTCTCAGCGGTATAGAATCTTGTACCCTCTAAAATAATTCATTCTCTGTACTGCAACCAAAAAGGCCATTTAAGAAAGCAAGTTCTATCATGTGAGGCCTTCACTAAAGCCTTCATGGGCTACCATTGTACTTAGGATGGAATGCGCATTCTAACTCTGGCTTACAAGATCCTGCATGGTCTGGTCACTACTCACTTTTCAGCCTCATCTCTTCCACTTCTCCCTTCATTATTCTCCAGGCATATGGCCTTCCACAAATGCTGGAGCTCACAGAGTTCTTTCTCAGTCAATGATAGTGGCCCTTGATGCTGCCCCTGAATTGTCTCTTACTGTTCTTCTCTCCATGCCCTGTGCCTTCCATAATTGACATATCATCATCTCTTTCCTGTCAGTATAAAAACCTCCTTAGTTTTCTATCCCTGCTCACCTCATCCACTACCGTGTGACAGACCACATATTTTATTAGTTTGGTGCAAAAGTAATTGCGGTTTTTGCCATTACTTTTTATGCAGAAAACACAATTGCTTTTGTGCCAACCTAACACTTCCCTGCTGAAAACCACTTATAGGATCTCATTGCTACAAGAAAAATAAAAATCACTAAACACTTCTGAAAAGCTATTCCTGCCTAAATTGTTGGCCTTACTCCTTTTAGTCCCCGAAATATTCATCCTAGGTTAAACCACACTGGGTTATCCGCCATTTCCTGCAAGGGTAATGTTTGTGGCTCATACTATTTATCTGGAATTCTTTCCTCTGCCCCCTTTCATACCTAATCAAGATCCTGCCACCTTCTTGGTGAAGTCTTTTCAGATTCTTCCAGGAAGATGTTCTCAGTCATCTCAATGAAGATTCACTAATGCGTTGAATCAAATTCCACAATGAGGGTACCATCTATGTTACCTTTGCGTGTATCTATCAATTCATCAGGCCATGAATTCTTTGAGTACAAAGGCTGTGACTTTATTCATTTCTATATTCAGACTTTACTGAACATGGTTGATACTCAATAAGTGCCTTTTTGTTTTTAACCTTTTTAAACTTTTATTTTAGGTTCAAGGGTACATGTGTAGGTTTGTTATATAGGTAAATGTGTGTCGTGGGGGTTTGTTATACAGATTATTCCATCACTCAGGTACTAAACCTAATACCCAATAGTTATTTTTTCTGCTCTTCTCCCTCCTCCCACCCTCTACCTCCAGATAGGCCCCAGTGTCTGTTATTCCCGCTTTTGTGTCCATAAAGAACAGTACTAAGAAAAGAAAAGTGCTATTTTAAATGAATGCATGAATGATTCCCTTCCTGGAGAAACTTACTCCTTCCTTCCCACTGCATAATATACCACCCTATGATCCAAACTGAGACTTAACTCCACAGATGGAAATTCTATGAAATTTCCCATCACTTTTTGTTACCTAGGTCAGAATAAAGACTTATTAGAAACTCTGCCTCAAAGTCTAATGTATATCTGTGCATTTTCTCCAGGACTTAGCTTTGGGACGGACGCATGGAAGCCCCATGATGAAAGGACTCTTGTGTCTTTACCACAACTATATCCCATATAGGCACTTGCTAACTATTTCTTGAATAAATAAAAGAATGTCCTCTTATACGTGCTGTCACCCTTACCCTAAGCAAATATGCTGCAATTCCAAACAGGGCTCTCTGCTGCCTGAGTGGCCTCATCTCCCTTATTCCCACTGTGCTCCTGCTGCCCACACCTGGCCCTCCCGTTTATTTGTCCTCAATCCCATAGCTTGCCTATTCTGTTTTAAAATGCCTGAGAATCCATCAACCTTCCCTCTTTCCAGTGTCCATTCAAATGTACCTCTAATTCCATTCACCATCTGACTTTGCTTATCTGGTCTTCTGCCCAACACCCTTGAACCTGCTTGGCATGAGTGCTTTGCCCAGTCCTTACACGTTGTCTTATGTTTGTTTCCTGCCTTCATAGCCAAGATGTCAGCAAACAACAAAAGGAAGACTTTGTCTCCCCCGAAAGTGCATGGGGGCTCTATACCTACACAGTATTCAGTCAGGGCTGTTATCTATGTGGCAGGCCACACCTGTATCCTGAGAGGACCTTAGAATGATGATTTTGGGAAACTGAGTCCCCAAATGGTCATGGAGGAAATAAGCAGCATATCTAGTACTAAATTTCACATCTCCTCACTCCTACTCCATGCATCAGATTCTCATAAGGAGTGCACAACCTACATCCCTTGCATGTGTAGTTCACAGCAGGTTTTTCTCCTATGAGAATCTAATGCCCCCGCTGATCTGACAGAAGGCAGAGCTCAGGCAATAATGCTCTCTTCACCTACCGCTCACCTCCTGCTGTGCATCCCAGTTCCTAACAGGCCATGGACTAGTACCAGTCTGTGGCACAGGGGTTGGGGACCCATGGTCTATAAGACTACTGTAAGACTATGCTGCAAAGATATAACTGGTTGTTGCTGAAAACTTTAAGTAAAGGTACCTGACCTGTCCTTCCCACCTCCTTATTTCAGCCTCTTCATTTTTATCCTGGACTATTATAGCAGCTATGACTTAAGTTGGGCCAGAATGTGCAGTAGGAGGGAAGTGACTAACATGGTCTGGGCCTTAGCTGAATGCTAAGGTTTTCTGGAGGAGGTCCCTAATGCACAACATAAAAAGGAGTGCATGCCTGAGAGGCAGGAAAGTATTTCCTCTGATAATGATGACATGGAGGATCTGGAGTTTGCAGAAGCAGTATTTTGAGGAGGATTGAGAGCTCTCCTGTTAGACATATACAGGGATGAGAATTAGAGAAGAGAATTGGGAGATAAGCTAATGCCTGAGATGAAGATAGGTTGTCTGAGCATAAGATGTCTGCAAGAGCTGGATTCTGCTCTGTGCACTCCATGGCTCAGCTTCC